AGAGAGAGACTTGAGAAAATGCTGCTGATGTTGTAAACTACGTGGCGATCACAGCTCTGCATGAAAAGCTGGCACGAACCAGGGCACCCCAGCGGGACTGAGACGCACCAGGACAGGAAGTCTCACTGGTCTACTCAGCCCAATTCGGGGAACCCCTTACATGTATGTGAATAAGTTGTGGCCTTTATATTGCAAGAAAGATGCATAGAAAGTGGAAAAATGCCAAGGGCCACTGCAGGGCAGAGCAGACACGGAATGTGAAGGAATGGCTACGCCCAAGGCAGTAATTCCCTCTAGAGAGAGGAAGAGGCCCAGGGAGGCAGTAAGGCAGGATCAGCTGACCCTGGGCCGCAGGCAAGGAGGCCTCGTCCCTCCCATTCTCTCCCTGGCACGCTCTGAGCGCTCACTTAGGGGTAACATACCCGCTAGAGACGCCTCAAGCACAGACTGGCACAGTCCCCATATAGGACGCTCTGCCTCGTGAAAAAGGAAGATCCAATTGTCCTATGAGAGGCAGCACTGATGGCTTCTGCTCTGGAAGAAGATGTCAAGAAGCACGTGGGGGAAAGGGAAGTGTCTTCAGAGGATGGAGAGAGTCAGGAACAGCTTCTCACAGCAGCCCCTCTGGCCACTTTCCCCACAGAGGTAAGAACTCCCCGAGTGCACGATGCTCACTGGGAGGCGGGGGCAGCTGGCAGCGAGGACAGAGCAGGTAAAAGGGAAGATGAAGACAAAAACACAGCTTCCAAAAAGGCAGTGGTTTAAAAACAAGCGTATATCCGCCTGCAGAATGGGTATTTGTCGGCCATTTGGTCTTTGCAGGAACATGAAAAACTTCAGAGAAAGGGTACTGGTGTTGAAGAGGCAGACAGCACTGGCCAGCAGGAGGGGCTGCCTGCGTGAAGTCGGCGTGTGCACAGTACACACCCTTCCAGGCATCAGGCGTGGGGACGACTTCACCCCGCATTTCCGAGTGGATGGGACCACAGCCTCTCTTGGGAAAAGGTTTGATGGAAGTCAGATTGCTACAGTCAGGCCGTCTCCACCTCACGGCCTATTAAGCCTTGAGACTCCGAGATGGCATCAAAGGCACGTGGCAGGGATCCAGGGGGAAAATAAGTTAAATGTCTAACTCCTGGTATACATGGGGAAACAGTGGGATTCGGGACATCTCCTTTTGCTTCTCCTCTAAACCCTCGAAGTCCCCCATAAATTTCACATGTCAGCATTCATTACTCTAGGCTGCTCTTTGAAACCCATGCATGGCAAATTCTCTGATAAATGTGCCCCTTTTGACACGATCTTTTAAAAGAAGGTGTAAAGATGGGCGAATCCTTGTCAAGACCGATCGTGCTCGGCAGCAACAGAAACACGGAAGTGTGCGGTCATCCTCATCCACGTCCGCGCCAAGGACGCACGTGATCAACACGGCAGAAGGCGCCTCTAACTAGACTTCTAACCGCAGCAGAGGGCCTGGAGCAAGCCCCACGTGAAACGGCAGCACTCAGCGTGCACGGCCTCACGCAGGGAGTCCTTTTCCACCGGCAACAGCCAAGGCACAGCTGGTCCAAGCGGCCTGCAAAGGGATGAGCCACCTCCCCGGGGGTAAAGGAGACACGTGCGCGGACCGCTGGCTGTTTGCCGCCAGGTGCTGCGCGCATGTTACTTCCCTCATGTTTAATCCACCTGGCAAGGCAGGTGCCGCCGCCCTCGTTGTGCAGCTGAGGAAACTGAGACTTGGAGAGGTCTAAACGGCAGAGCAGAGGCTCAATTCCAAGTCAACCTCATCGCCCAAACTCATGTTTTTTTCTTGCCCCTATGTTGTCTCCCACGTGATCGCTGAAAATGTGCCAGACACAGGAACACTACTGTATATGCATTACATTGTTGAATACTTATAAAATATAAGGAGGTAATTAACTATTTTTATTAATGTTATTTTTTTTAATAGATTAGGCGCACACACACACAAAGAAAAAGTCAAGTGAGTTCCCCTGGGCCACGCAGCTGATAAGGATCAGAACCAGGAAGCAAACACAGACCTGCCTTCCTCTTAGCCATCGTCCGCATCGCCCAGTCTGGAACCCGTGGCAGCACGTGGTGTCTCCGCGTCTCGGCAATGCTGCTCTGTCTGCGTGAACTCTGTTCTTGCTGTGTTCCTTCTGACTCATCCTTCAAGCTCAGATTTACTTGGAGAGCCGAGGGACCGCTCACGTGGAGCCCAGTTCCAGGTCCTTTCCGAGCCCTGATCACTCTGTTCTGTGGCTGCGGGTGTTCACCCCCAGCATGGTCAGCTCTGCTGGCAGTGGAGGTCTTCCTCTGCATCCGACGAGATTTCCCCCCATTGGCAGGATGCAGGGCTCATTTGGGGGGAGGGAGTTATACCTAATGACCCATCCTCCACGCTTCTGGCCTGTACTGAACGGTTTTCACCCAAGGGAGGACCATCTGTGAAGTGGGGCACAAGGACTGCTTCTCCAGATTGAAACATGAGACAGACACAAGGCTACCTGCGGTCCCTTTGCCGCTGGAGGATGAGGCTGACGTGAATGCAGTTCAGGCTACTGGCTGGGGCAACGGCTCCTACGATGAAGGGGAAAGACAGCAAATGCTGCATGATGGGAAACGCAGTGACTGTGGAGGTGGGTTAGGGACCACAGACTCTGCAGTAAAAGCACGCGCATGGTCCCTGCAGCCTCCATGAACGGGATCACAGGATGGGGTGAGGACGTGGGCTCCCACCCAAAACACTCCTCCTAGGGCACTGCCTTCGTGCAAGGGGAGCCTGGAAAGCAAAAAGAAGAAAATCACAAATACAGCCGGCCTCCAAGCGTGGAATCAAGAACCAGGGCCTTTGCTTAGATTTCTTTATTCTATAATAGGATTTTTAAAAGTTCTACCTTGTGCTCTTTTCTCACCTTGTACTTCTGTGTATTGGATGTACCGGAACCGGGGAAAAGGTAAGATTAAAGTGCAGGGAAGTTCAGAGGGTTACGGAGGCAGGACGGGGAGACAGAGACCGTCACAGGGTCTTATCTACCAACCCCACTGCCTGGTGATGAAAACGAATCATGTCAGAAAGTTTCTACCTTTATAATTTTAAATGAAATGGAAGCAGCTGTTCCTGTGAATTTCTTTTAAACCCATATCAAAAAAAAAAAAGTTTAAAGTTCTTTTTCCTGAGTCAGTGCTGCAGCCTTAAATCCCAGGCACTTTTTCGTTTGTTTTTCCACCCTGTGCTGAGACACTCGCTGTCTGAAGACCCTCCCAGCCCTGAAGGGGCTCCAGGCAAAGACAAGGGAGGAAGGGTAAGGTCCACTGAGCTTTAACCGCACTTGACAACTGCTGAATTTTTTTGTTCTATATTTTTTCCCTCTAAGATCTTAGAGAAAAATATTCAAGGTTCCTCACTGCATGTACAAAAATATATACAGTTGAATATGAAACGTGCACGTCTTTGCCCATAGGAAGATTCCGGGAGCACAAGTTCACTCCGGGCTCTGCTGCTAACTTCTGGCAGATTCTTCAGAGACGATGTCCTGGGAGCCGCGTGAAGAGAGTGTCCCGGGAGGAGGGAGCATCAGAATAATGAATCGGGTGCTCAGGCCGGAGGAAGGGGTAGGGGATGGGGAACCAGGGAACGGGAGGCAGGCACGGAGCCGGCACTTGATTAATTCCGGGCAGTAGGTGAATTTGGGCATGACTGAGGGAGCCCTCACCCCGAGGGACGGGGTCTGCATGGTCCACGCAGCACAGCCCGCCGAGGTCACAGTGCGCATCTCTCCCTCCTGCCTCGGCTCCTGCCACGTCATCACCTCTCCCCTCTGACCCTCCAGCCTCCTGCTTTCACTTAGTAGGACGTCTGTGATCACAGTGGGCCACCCACACAGACGGGAACTAGAAACATCCCTCCCAACCAACCTAAGAAAAAAGGAGAAAAAAAAAAGTCCCCGTTTGTGTAACAGGTGTTGGCCCTGGAGGACAGACAGCAATGCAGGAAGAGTCCCAGTCACGGATCCAGGGTGTGTGGCCGGAGGCACAGCACACACGTCCCCGGCGGAAAGCTCAGGGTCATCGGAGATCAGTCGTGGCTGCGGTGGGAGAAGGCAGGACAGGCGGTGGCGCGGGGGGCTTCGCTGGAGATTTATCCGCGTCTTGCGGTGACGTCTGTGACTTGTACACTTGGGAACAGTTTTGCTGCGGAGGGTGTCAAGGGGGAATTAACTGAAGGCTCACCATTTAAACCAGCAATGTTTCTAAATGGCCCCAGAAAGTAAGTCAGAGGCAGAATTTTAACACATCTTCAGCTTTACTGAGCTATAATTGACATGTAACATTGTAAGGTATTTAGACCATAGGCACAGTTGTCCTACTGTCTGCCCTTTTCAGGGTAGAGCTGGACACCGTGGAACAGCAGGTCGGGGTAATGATGCTAGTAACTTCAGCACAAATATTCTCAAGTCTTCTCCCGCTACAAAATAATCTCTTTTTGGTGTTAGTCAAAGCAACGTTGTAGTACATATTTTTTTTAATAGGTAATGCATTTAAACACGGTGCTTGTGGGAGCCACCTCTTCGTCACACGCAGCTGTGTGTTCCCAGTAAACAGAACAGCATTCTAATGCCTGTGCTCACGAAAACCATAGGTGAATATTTATTAAAAGTTTCGTGATAAACCTCAGCTTTCTAAGTGTTCTATGCTTCCGTGCAAAGTGGATTACAGCTTTTTAAAAGGAGCTTGGAAGTGCCTCAGCTCCAGGCTGTTGCCTTTGGAGGGCAGGGAACTGTGCTGCTCGGCTTGGATCCTTTCAGTCCGTAATTCAAGACGGCTCGGGGGGAATAAAGTGTGTCAAACTTGGCCTCCCAGCAAGGAAAGTCTTGAGCAAAGGTGCGTTCGTGGGTCGGAGCTGCTTCTGCGCTGCCAGGTGGCAGCGGCAGGCCTTCCTGAAAACCGCCTCTGGTTAAAACCTCGGCCTCTGGCTCCATTTCTGCCCTAGGGTTTCGCCTCCCGAACCGTCTCTGTCCAACGCGAAGGTAACGGCGTCCGCGCCACCGTGGGCGCCCTCTGCTGGCCGTGGCCGGAGAAGCATGCAGCTCAGACGTGGACGGAAAGGACTGATGTGTGCGTTACCGCCAGGTAACTGGGGGGGGGGTCCTTTAAGTCTGGGGTCACCTGCAGGGGCACCTGGAATCCTTCCTCCTCGCAGCTCCTCTTCCAGTGCCTCCCCAGCCCCTTTCGAGGGTCCCAGTGTCAAGAGCTAAGTGCTGGGGCCTGTGGATTTGCCCCATTTTGTTGCCCTGTGCCAAGTGCGCAAATCCTGAATCCCACTTTGTCCTGCAGCCTCTGATTCTTCACACGGAACTCGCGGCCTGCGAGCCATCTTCCTCTTGTTAGTAAGAAATGCTTCTCATAGCACGATATGACTGCCCCGTTTAAAAGAAAGTCTTCAAACCTACCAGCAGTAAAGACAGGAAAGCAAACAAGATGACATGAAGAACCTCATGTTCTAATATGCTCTCTGAGGTTTTCTCCTGGAAGAGCTTTCACAGGTCTGGCCCTAAATTTCTCATCAATAAAGGGAGAGACTCCACCTAAAATGGTTCTCTTCCAGCCCTAAGCATCTTTGGCTCAGAAGTTGACCATCATTGAGTTTCTGCCTCAACCGACATTGTCAGACCTGCCATCTGTGCCTCCTGCCCCCTGCCTCCCCCCTCCCCACTCCCTTCCACTACATTGAACCACAGTAACTTCCTGGAGGCTAAACACACAAAAACGAAATAATCCACACTGGCGATCAAGGATAGAGAGGAGGTACACACTCCAGAAACGGCTTCAACACCACACAACATGAGAAGATGCCAGATGCTAAACAAACTAATTCCAAACTATTTCAAAGGGGAAAGACTGAAAATCACCGCACTTAAGATTTTCTACAAGTAACTAATGCATCCATGGTGGTCTCAGAATTCCCTCTGGGAAGAGCTGGGGTCTGCAGCCTCTCCCTTTAGATTTTAGTGTCCGTATCCATCGGTGGGATGTCTCAGTCTCTCCCCTTCTTTCTCTCTCCTTCCCAACTTTACACTCACAGTGATTTTTGAAACCCACATTGAGTAATCATGCAGAGTCTCTCCCCTGCACCGGTAACATTTTTTTCATTTATAAAGACCATCTAACTACTTTGTTATGATTGAAAATGTCCCTCTGTTTTCCATTCAGGTGTAAAACTCATAGAAAGACGAAAAGGAATGCAATGGGCATCCTCCCCCGGTCACTGAGACTCACACGAGCAGCGCCTCCACTAGGACTAGCTCAGCCTTGCTCAGCGCTGTTCTACCAGAAGGCAGCAGCCACAGGTCAGTCCTCACGCGAGGACGCCAGCCCAGGGCCGCACCGCCGCTCGGGCTCAGGAGCCCCCGGCCCCGGATGCTGCCGCCGCCTCCATCGTTGTTTCCATTCCAGGCAGAGCAAACATGTGTAAATACTTCATTAAAATTAAAAAAAAACGCATGAAGTGAAAGCTGTTCCCCTCTGATTGATTTTTTCAAAAGCTCCCTAGACTGCTTCTGCTACAGATGTTTGCGAGATGACTGGATGCAAAGCGGGCTTAATTCATAAAAGCAATAAAACGTTGCTTATTGACTGAACAGATGAGCGAGCTGAGGGGGCATAATTTGGAGTGTTCTTATTGGAAATGCTCTGAAGAAATGTAATGACAGTGGAGACACAGAGCCTTATTAGCGCTGGTAAATATATTTTCTTACAGAAATGCTTGGGAGGTTTTTTGGAATCACTAGAAAATAACCCACGGATTTCCAGTTTTACTGGCTTTTTGACTAAACGTGTGTAACTTTCAGCTTCATAAAACCATTTACTCTTTGATACGCAACATTTAAAATCCATAGATAAATTCTGAGTGTCACGGGAAGAAGTTTAGGGCTGGGAGTCGGGACATCTGGGTTCCAGTTTGAGTGGGGCTTTGACTCTTAATCACAGACAGAGGTGGGTAAGCCTGGTTTCTTCCCTCAAGGAGCAGGGAGTCTAGTGTGCGAGCTGGGGGACTCAGAGAGCCCTGAATATCCCAAGGAAGTACGTCAGGGGCTGCTGGGGAAGACCCCCCAGCCGCCGGCTTCTTCCAGGCACGTAGGGCTGCAGAGGAAAACTTCATCGGCCAAAAGAATTCGTTGCTTTAAAATTGTTTGAGAAGTAGTAGATTCATGGTAAGTGAAGCCTGTCCTACCTTTCAGGCAAGTGGAGCTTAAAAAGTAAGAGGCCAGAGGTGGTTGCATAGTTTTTGTGTTACTATTTGAGTCATGAGGAAGCGAATGTCGTTTCATCTGCTGCCACCTTCTTCCCCTCCATTCACGGATCTTCTTGGACCCGTAGCAATATTATTTCGTTATTGTAATGCATTATTTTTATACAAGCTAATTTTTATTTAGAGCTACCTGAAGGATAAACACATGCCACAAATGTTACTCAGCAGAGGAATGTCATTGATATCGGAAAAATGGGTCTGACACAAGTGACGCCCACCCACTGGAGGCAAATTTGGGGAGAATCAATCCCAGGCTGTGTTTGGAGGCGTCTGTATCCTGACCCGACGACACACTTCCTCCGTGGATCACAAGGACTGGGTCCAACCAATCTGCACCTCTTCTGTTTACAGCCTCAGGCAGGAGACATCCAGTAACAGGTGCAAACGCTGGCGTCTCTAAAGGACCCGTCGTCTGCTGGTAACTGTCTCCCCCTCTACCAATGGGACACGCTGCCTCCCCTCTTCTGCTCTTCATTTGCTGTCGCTGCTTGTGGTCCTTGACACCCAAGATTTGCCAGACAGGGGGAAGAAGGTCAAGGCTGAATCCCAAACCTCCTATAGTGTTGTGGAATTTCTTCTTAGTTTCAGTGGTTACGGTGAAGCTTTGGCATCAAATGGAAGTAATGAAAACATCCAAACACATTTTTGATGACTTTAAATGGCAATGACAAGAATGCACGCACAGCTGTCATGGATAATTTCTTGTATTTAGCACTTTATATAGTTATTTATGTTACTTCCTAGCGTCTGACACGTGATAGGTATTTAAAACATATCTTTAATGAATAATGTCTTGTATACACATAACTCAGATTTTTATTCCAAACTCCATTCTGGTGGGCTGCAGGGAAGTTACTCTTCACATCATTCTTGTGGGTTTCCCCCACCTGCCCTCCCAGGGATGTTCCACGTCCCCGGCTCCTCATAAGCAGTACCGTAGGTCACTGATCATCCGTCCTCACAAGTGCTACCGAGATCACCGTTGTCCTTGTCTCCATGACCCACAAGGCCAGCAGTTCTTTGGGAGTTTTTTGGAAGCTTCCGAATCTCTGCAGACCTGGTCCCACCTCTTCATGACCTTATACCCTGAGAACACTCCTTCCTGGGGTATCAGCCTCCCGGGGACACTACCAGGGAAAAGCTCTGAGTCCTGCCTCTGCGAGGGGGCAGGGCACTGCTTATTCCCCAACTGGAGGAGCCATTATCTATTTGTCTGTCTGTTACCGACCTGCCCGTCCTCCGTCTCCCTACCCTAATGACGAAGCTGAACTTCCCGTCACGTTGGGCCTTGCATCTTGTTCCACTTCGCCGCAGTTGCAGGCTGTACAGCGTGAGGCTTGAGAAGCACAGGTTTGGAGTTAAAATTCCATCTGAGCCTTTTATGAGTAGCGTGACTTTGGGAAACTTACATGAACTCTTCGTGGCCCCATTTCCTTTTTGGCAAACAGGATAAGATTGCCTACCTGTGAGAAATTCAAGTGAGATACGAAGCTTTTAGCACAGAGTGTCTATCATATAGTGAGCTCTTAATAAATGTTAGCGGCAGTCAGTACATTACAGCTTCCCAGGCAGACAAAACCTTTCACACCTTATGATGTGTTTTTACAGATACTTGATTGGAAAGTGACACGTCTGCATTTAAAGCGAAAGAGCACGCATTGACTGAGTATGCTCGAGATTTTGGGCATGGGAAGTAGTGTGACAAGGCACCAGCCTTTCTCTGCCCTGTTCAGAACATCTCACACAGGCAAGACACGTTACTATCAAGCCTGTTCCTTACAGAGCCAAGGGCAGATGCTGGCTCATGCAAAGGATGTCGCTCAAGTAATAAAGGAGAGAAAATGTGCAGGTGTAGTATAGTGAGCTCCTTCAGGAGAGGAAAGGAAAGAAACAGTGAAACAAGGCCAAATACCGAGATGGATGGACAGAAGAATGAAAGCAATAGGATTGAGAAAAAAGAAAATTAACAAGATTTTTCATTGGAGTTACTGGGCTGAGATTTCTGGAGTCCTAACCTTGCCGTAACTTTCATTAAATAAAAATGGACCTTAATGCATAAAGCACAGAGTGATATGGCAGGTCACAGAGTGGTGGCCCTCCAGGAGGAAAACTGACCCTAAATATGTGACTTTTCTTAAAACTTTGCAGTGAACTCTTTGTTAAACCTGGGGGCAATTGCTGGACATAAAAACGTCTCAAGGCAGCTCATCCCATCAAATGTAGACTTATGTGTGCATTTTCATGCCTTCCAAGACAGCTTTCCTTCCGTGGTGCTTCCTCACTATTAGATCCAAGTTATCTGTGATACTGAGTCGAGAATAGACCATTGGTCTGAATGGATGATGCAAATGGCATTGAATTGACTTGGCATAATTTGTTTCCAGTTCCAACTCTAAAGGCAACCAGCTGTGCAATGCGGACAGAGCAGTGGGTAGCACAGAGCCTCAGTTTCCTCCTACGTGAATTGAAGGGTTGGACTGCACCATCTCTAGCTTGTCCCCTGGTGTCTTGGCTTAGGGGTAAATCACCAACATGAGTGATACTGGTTCCCTCTGGACTTCCGCGGTCCGGAGACTATCCATGACCTTCAGAGAACTGTGTTTGAAAGAACTGGTATTTACTTGTAAAGAGAGACAGAGATTGTTACAATTCGTGTCTAAGAGAGCCTTTTACTAGCCTTCAGATTCCTTTGAAGTTGAACAAAGACAGAAGAGGAGGCACAGCTCTGAAACTGGGCATTAGTCACAGCCCGGAGAGTGAGTGACAGCTCCCTCGACTCTTGTCACCGATTGTAAATGAGCAAAATGAGCAGAGCTGGGAGTGTTCAAGACCCTTTTGAAAGCGTTGTGCTGTGCTTCACATTGCGGAGAAGCTTCCCTCAGGTCAAGCACCCTTCTGTTAAATTTCACATGGTTATGCTTTGTAAACTATGAATATTCATTTCATTAATATTTCTAGAACCATGAATTTTTTTAAAAATCTGTTCAAACACAATAGCCCAAGAACATTCTGAGATGGACATATTATTGGACCTGAATTGTCTGCCAACAGGGCTCCCCTGTCGTCTGCTCTCGTGTAAGAGGCAGGAAAGAGAGAGAGAGATCGGAAAGTCAGAGGTCAGCTTCGCAAAACATGGTTACCAGCGTTCCAAACACTGCGGCTAGCGGCAGAACAAAGCAGAAAGAGAAGTACACCTTCTCTGAATGGAGGCGTATGGAAGGTGAATTTAAGAATGTCCTTGATTAGGAAAGAATAAATTTAAATATTTTCAAAAGGATGCAGTGAGATAACTTGTCTCAGTTGTAACTGCTGGGGACATAAATTTATATACTCTCTTAGAGTGCTGCTGGGAAAAATAGATACACAGGAGAGGGAGAGGGGATAAAGGGGTCTATAGATAATAGGAGGAGGGATGGGGAGGGAGAGAACACATGTCAGGAGATTTAAAGAATTTCAGCTCCTTTGTTGTAGCAATAATTCCCCTTTATCTAGAAATACATTTTAAAACCAATATTTGTATATACATGAATATAAATATTACATATACTAGTTGTAGATCAGTTTGTATATTTAAATATTATGTTTAGGGGTGTATATATATGTACACACTACATATACATGTATATGTATATACTGCATATAGAGTAGAACTCTTTCAAATATTGTGTTTAATGCACATACACATATAGTAATTTTGTGTGTGTGTGCATTTCACATAATAGAAAAAGTTAAACTGTAATTGACAAATCACTGTAGGTTCAAGGTGGCAAAGTTGGAGACTTCAAACCTCCGGAGGCAGGTGCAGTCTTGGAGGAAAGACCCACACTGAAGAGTTTTATTCCCAAGATTCCACCAGACGGTCAGTGTGAGCGTGATCTGAGAAGTACCCCCATGATCCAGCAGGCAGAGGGAAAAGATAACTATTTTGAAATGTGGCCAGAACATTCTGTTCTCTTAATGAAAGACTTGGCTCAAAAGAAATGACTTTGCCAGAGCCTAACTGATCTGGGGAAAGGAAAAACCCCACTCCAGGCCCCTCTGGTCTCACTGTCTCACCTAAGGGGGGAAAAAGCTGAGACGCTCTTGTGACGGTCCCAGCCCAGGGACACAGGCTCACCAACAGACTGAGACCTCACCATCAGACCACAGGCTGCTTCCCATCCCTTGTCTGTTGCCACCACATCACTT